GACTGAGTCTTCTTCCCCTCATGTAACGGCTGTAGACTAGCTCACGATCCCACCATGCCTTGTTTATAGGATCGGCATGCCTTGTTTATAGGATCGGCTGGTAGTGGATCAGTGTTGTATTTAACCCCAACTCTGAGTAATGGAATGGTGCGGTGATTCTCTCCCAATTCTCATCTCTTACACTGAGCAACAAGATATCCGATGTCATCAAATCCGAGATCAGAAATGTGGCCAATATTGAGGAGGTAGCTTGATATATTAGAGAAAACTCGATCACTCTCTGGGGCGAGCTGCTGACTGATACGTACGTACGGCAAGCTTATGCCACTGACTGATCTAGTATTTATTTATTTATGTATTCCAACAACAACTTACATTGTCAGAACGTATACCATGCATCCGGCCCCTCGAACACCACCGTTGTCTTGCCGTCAGCCTTGTTCCCGGAGCCGCTCCGGCACGGCCAACCGCTTCCCCCACCCGAAATCGTTCCCGAACACGTGTGAGCACCCGGTCACCAGCGCAGTGACGGCAGACGCGAGGTTGTCTATGTTCGTGGAGTCTGGCTCCCGGCCCGGACCCACCCAATGCTCCAGCGACCTCCCTCGTGCTCGCCTCGTCGAACGACGCCGCGGCGCGGTTCAGCAGCCACGCCGTCCACCCCAGCCCCTTCTCCTCGATCTCGCCGACGGTGGCCTCCGCCTTGCCCAACACCACGGCGTTGCCGACGTAGACCCCGGCGGCGTGGTACGCCCACGGCACCCGACGACCACGGAGTAGAACGTGCCGTGCTCCAGAGGGAGGCGACGACCATCCGGGAGGGAACCATGTCACGAGATAGACACGGGGCATGCCAACGCTGCCGCCGGTTCTCGGTTGATCTCCGACCACGTGTTGAAGAAGTTCCAGGTTCAAGGTCATACCGATAAAGACGCCGTCGGCGATCACGGTGACCTGCACAGACAGCACTGGGAGCGGTGGCTCGATGGCGGCGGCCGCGCCAAGAACCATAGCTGGCGGTGGCGGGTGGCGGGTACAACTTCCCGACCACGGGCGGCGTGTACAGACGATGTCGGCGATGGTGGCCGCCTTCCTCGCCACGCTCCCGGAGGGCCGCCAGCTCCACGCGCTCGCCGCCAAGCTCGCCCTCGCGCCCGCCCACATCGTCGTCGCCAACTCCCTCGTCCACCTCGCGCTCGCCGTCTTCCGGCGCGTCCCGGACCCGGACCGGTCGCTCGTGTCGTGGAACACCGCCGTCGACCAGACCTCGCGCCCGACGCCTCGGTGCCTGCGCGGCCGTCGGCGCGCTCTCGCTCGGGCTCTACGCGCACGCGCTGCTGCTCCGGAAGCTCGGCGGCGCCGACGGCGGCGGGCACGCCTCGGTGGTGTCGCGCGACGTGCTCATCAACAACTCGCTCGCTGACCTCTACGGCAAGTGCGGCGCGGTGGAGCTCGCGCGGCAGGTGTTGGACCGGATGTCCGAGCGGGACCTCGCGTCCTGGAACGCCATGATCCTCGCGCTCGCCATCCACGGACGCGTCCAGGGCTCGCTCGACCTGTTCAACCTGATGACGAGGGTGGAGAGAGTGGTGCCAAATGCAATCACGTTTGCTGCAGTGCTCAGTGCCTGCAACCACGGTGGACTGGTCGACGAAGGGAGGAGGTACTTGGCTGCTGCCATGGTCACAGTGAGCACGGGATCAAGCCAAGGATCGAGCAGTACGGGTGCATGGTCGACATCCTTGCACTGCACGGGCGGGATTCATCGAGGTGGCCCTCGATGTCGTGGCCGGAATGAACAACCGGCCCGATTCCATCATCTGGCGGAGCCTGCTCGATGCGTGCTGCAAGAGGAATGCTGGGCTGGGGCTCAGTGAGGCCATGGCTAAGCTGGCGCTTGATGTCCGTGATGACGCCGTGAGTGGAATCTACATCCTGCTCTCAAGGGTCCGGTCTATGCGTTCGCGCAGCGGTGGAACGACATCCTCACTCGGAAGAGAGATACGAGAAGCCGGATGAGATTCAGCAGAGGCTCACGTCTGCTGGATACAGGCCGGACTTGTCGGAGGCGCCTATGGTCACCGACATTGACCTGTCATGTACCTATAGCTATTGCTACACTGAAGAAGAGGACGTCGTGAATATTGGGAGCAGGCTGGGCTGCAGAAGACAAGGGAAGCATTTGCCGCTGCTATCTCGTACATATAGCTTTCTTCCTGATGAAGATGAACTCGATTTGGTTGTAATCGAAGAACAGGCGAGCTGCGGGTCTATCCTTACATGACCGCACCAAGCCACCAAGGGTGCCACCCTGCGTTTGCACAGCCAACGGCTAGCCATATCCTTTGGCCTACTCGATGAATGAATTATTTAATTTAATTTCTATGCCAGCTTGTATGTCTAATGTCCATGTATAAATTGGCTTTCACTAGCTTGAGTCCACGCTCGCTCTCGAGTGGTGTGAGGCCTTAGCATCCTGGTTCGGACGGTGCGTTTGTGGCTCGTCCATGCATAGTGTCGATCTGTCTTTGGCAATGGTCGGTCACGCTCAGTGGTAGCCAATTTCATGCTTGTCTCTGTTCCAACACGGCTGGGTTTTCATTTCAGTTGCCTGGCTGTAGCATATCAGGGATATATATAATCTTGTATTTTCCTCTGCATTATATAATATAATATTATCAATATATAAAGTTGTATAAACTAATAACACACACGGGTGCTCGTCCAATAGGGAAAAGACAGTCCTATTTTATCGGTGTCTCGTTGAATAATAATAACTACAAATTCTTACCGGGGAAAGAGTCCGCGTCTATCCGGCGGCTCTCCGGCTGAAAGTGTCTTCTACAAATAGAGGCCGCGTGGCAGGTCTGCTGTGCTGGCATCGTATCTGCCGTCCCAGACCCTCTTCACCGCGTCACCATCAGTTGCCTTCCTCTACTCCCCCTTCCCCCCTGCCGCGGAACTAGCCGGACCACCTGGTCGCATCGGGCTTCTTCTCGTCGCCGGCGGCGGATCTGCCACTTCAACCTTCCAGTATATCTTCTCACCTCCACGAAAACCCTCCCCCCGTCCTCGGCGTGGAGAACATCGTAGCAGCATCATTGCAGTGGTTTCTGCGGCCACTGTTGTTGGTGGTGACGATTCCAGGATCAGCAAGTCGTTAAGCTGCTGAGCACGAGTCTACCTCCAACTCCCATTTGATGTGGTTCTTTAATGCTTGCCTAATTGTTGCCTAAACCTGTGAATTCCGCCAGCCTTCTGTCTTCCTACATGCCCTCAAGGTGTTTGCTCTGATTCCACCCAACATGAATTTGCTTTTTTTTTAACAAGGGTAAACCCGGCTTTTATAAAAGCTCCAAAAAACAGTACAGAGTTTTAGACATCTGCTGGGGATTCCAGCTTACATGAATGAAAGAACCAAACATACTAAAAGAGAGCACACCTAGAGCAGCAGAACGAGTTAAGTCAACGAAAACAGAAGAGCCTGACCAACCAACTAAGTAAGAGGCAAAGGTCATGTTCGCTTGTCTTATGAGCCGTGCTATTTCAGCGAACAAACAGTGTTTTCCTCTCACAACAAATCAACGAACAGTACTTTCAACCATGGCTTTTCAGTAAAGCGAACAGGGCCTAAAGACTAAAGCAATACTACAAGACACCCTCCACGATCAAATTCTCTCCAAAACTCCTGTAGCCAGCTTTTCATCGTCTTCATCTGATCATCCAAAAATTTGGCATCCTGGTGTTTCAACAGAATGCGCCACCTCTGTAAAAAGGAGAAAATTTTGAGAAAAAATTCATTAGAACCCCTTGGAAACTTATGTTCTATCCCCATTTTATTTCGAATATTCCATAAACCCCATAAAATGGTAGCAAAGATGAACAGTTTTATATGATAATCTCGGCAGCCTAGAGGAATCCAGTTATCTAGTATATCATCCATACTAGTTGGAACTCTATCCCACCCCAAAGCCTCCTTAAAACAAAACCAAATACTTCTAGCGGTATGGCAGTTAAAGAAAATGTGATCTTCGTTCTCTACTTCCCCACATAGACAGCAAAGTTTGCTGCCCCTCCATTCCTTCCTACTCAGATTGTAACCTGTCTGCAGTCTTTTCTGAGAGACCATCCACATAACTCTATCCCAACATGAATTTGCTATTTCTAGCAATGGCGAGGACTCAGGAGGCTTGAGTTACTACTCTTTAATGTCCATCTCCTTGCAAAGATAGCATTTCATTCAAACTGGTAATTTTTATTGGACTGCATGCTAAAATCCAATTGCAAATTATTGCATATTTGTAAATATTGCTTCAAAAGTTTGAATGGCCATGCTTAGCATCAAGCCATCAATACACTTCAGATGGTATATGTATATATGTATTATTCACCTTTCTTCCTCAAATGAGGTCCTAATTGATGTGTAGAGACATATTTATGCAGATTTGACTTACATAGGCATTTTTAATACTGTTAGTAGAGTTTTTTTAAAATGCTCTGCTGCAAATAGAGATTTTTAATTCAATGCAGAGAAATAGGTACATTGTTAATGTGAAGATCAAAAGCATTGTGCTTGTGCCCCAACAATCGTGGTGGCACTTTATTGGGCTGCAAACAGTGATACTCCTACCTACACTTCCAAGCATGGAGTTCTGACAGCACAATGGAGATTGCTGTGCACATTCCCCCTTCTCAGCACAACAGTGCTCCGCTAAGATCTAATACTGTTATAGGATACTGAAACATATCCAATTGGGTATACAGACTATCATATCATCACGACTATGATATTATAAAACTCTGAAAGATCAAAGATCAGTGTAGTTTCATTGCCTCATGTTCCCTCAATCACCATGTTGTTCCCAAATTTGCGTTCCACATATAGGCAAAAAAAGCGTCCACTTAGTGGATCGCACATTGAGTTAGTGCAATGGAAAAAACACAAAGACGTGGCTGTGACGTGAATCGGATGATGTACCTTATTGAGTCTCTGGTGTACATCACATCCCTCGTAACCATCTATACCACGTCTTAAGCGAGGCGATATGGTAAAAAGTAGTATCAACTCCCTCCTCGATGAGCTTATGCAGACTCTCTTTGACCTTATCATCATTGGTGAAGCTGAAAAACATGGTCTTGGCCAGTTTGTTCAGCTCGGCCTCCAGATAAGCTCTGCCATCTGCGACGATGTAAAGTATGGCAGTGATGAGCAAAACACAGAAAATTGAAACGACGGCAGACATGATCCTCCAAAGAAGTCGCTTCATGCCCATCATATCCCTGTCAAGCATGCAAAAGTATAATTTTTTTAATTCGTTACCCAGAAATCACCTCCTGTCATTGTTTGAAGAAATGAAACTTACAGTTTTTTATGAAGCTGATTGATCTGATCAAGAACAACATCAAGCTTTTGGTGGAGGGACGCATCTTGAGGGAGCAGGGATCGTTGAGGGAGGAGGGAGACGGGTTGTTGGAGACGTAGCACAAGGCAGCACCGGTGGCTGGCTTGTAGCAGGTGAGGAGGCCTGCCAAGGCGGCACCTTTGAGGTGGCCTGGCGGCCCCTGCTCGGCGGGCTTGGCGAACTTGGCGCGGGACGGCGGAAACCTGCCCACCGTCCTCCCGGCGCCCAGCAGCGAGACCCGGACCAGCCCCACGCCGCCGCCGCTACGAACCGTCGTCCGAGCCCTCCCGGCGCCCGGCAGCGAGACCCGGACCAGCCCCACGCCGCCGCCGCTACGAACCGTCGTCGGGGGCCTTCCGGCGCCCGGCAGCGAGACCCGGACCAGCCCCACGCCGCCGCCGCTACGAACCGTCGTCGGAGCCCTCCCGGCGCCCGGCAGCGAGACCCAGACCAGCCCCACGCCGCCGCCGCTACAAACCGTCGTCGGGATAATCTCAGCCTGATTTGGAGCCGTAGGTTGGGTTGCGCCTCCGGCTCGAAGGAAGCTGTGATTGGCGCAGTGGGGTTTTAGGGAGGGATGGGGAGGGGAGAATGGGTGCGTGGTGGTGGAGTGGAGGCTGCTAATAAGCGGGACTGATTGGTGTTTTTTTTTTCTGAACTTTCAGCAAACTTATTGATTCATCAAAGTGGATACATCGTTTACATCTGCCCAAATCTGAGAGCTTTTCTCTAGTAAAGCTTAGCCTAGCTAACTCGTGGGCAACTGAATTACAGCTTTGATTACAATGACTAATTGAAAGTGCCACGAACTCCTTGGTTAGTGAAGGAATTAGACGGACTGGTATGTGCAACGGACGACTAGCGCCTGGACGTCCGGAACACGGCGTCCGTCCGGACGCAGCTCCCACACCCGCGTCTGACGCATGCAACTCTCTTTTTCCCGTGCCAAATCTTGCTCCGGAGGCAGCGTCCGTCCCGGACAGAGCTCCGTGCCTGCACCCGACGCTCGCCCGCATCGCATCCCACGCCTCGCGCCCGCTTGCACCACGCGCCAGCATCTAGAACCGTGCCCTACGCCCGCACGTGAACCACGGCGGCGCCCCCGCAGCAGCACCAGGCCTGCTGTGCCCATCCCACGCCCGCACATGAACCACGGTGGCACCCTGGTAGCAGCACCAGGCGGCTGCGGCAGGCTTCTGTCCGCCAGCTGCCAGCGCGTATTACAACATGTGCAACGCCCGATCTACTTTTAAAACATACAAATGAACAGCTGAAACATGCTCTCGAAACACGTGTGTATAGCCATAGCAACATATGCAACATTCAGATTCACTTTTGCAACATAAGTCTGAAACATACGAAAAACCCACACCAAGCAGCCTGCTTACCTGATTATGTAATCGTCGTGACCTCGTGACCTGTGAACCAGACGACTATTAACGATTGGAGCCAGACGACTATTAACGATTGGGCCGAAATTTCCGATCCAATGGGGCCCAACCCAACGTGGAAGAAACGAACGAGGTCCAGCTCGCCCACAGAACGAACTGCCGTGCTCCGTCTCCACTCTCCACCCTGAGCCTGAGGTGCACGTAGGCGGGCGACAGGCTGAGCTGGAACCTAGACAGCACGAGCGCCGGCAGAACCTTGGGCTCGGCCATCGCGAAGGCCTGGCCGACTGCCCAAGGCAGGTGCACCGTCGAGACGTGCACGTAGATTTTGATGCCCGCTGGCCGCTGGGACGATGAACTAAGTTATACGTGATTCAATGAGTATGAAATTTTTAGTAAAGTTTAAGCATATAATAATTAGTCCACCATAAAAATTTTATCACAATTAGATCATAGAAAAACAGTTATGAATTATTCCATTTAATTACAGAAAAGCATAGATCTAAAGCTACAGCAAAAACTTTGTATTAAAGCGTATCATATTATATATATTCACTGTGTAGATCTACTCATGTGGAGTTCAATAAAATTAGATTTTTTATTTTATGATTTTTCTATGATTTACTATGATTTTTCAAAGTTTCAGCCGAAATAAATAAATAAAGAAAAAGACAAAACCGCCATCAAAACCACTTATAACCGGGCCAGCGAGGTAAGATGGGCGGTTTTAAAAGTTGAGGGAAGTGTTTTGCCCGATTTTAGAGTTCAGGGGGGAAAAACGGACTTTTACGAAAGTTGAGGGAGGCAACGTGGACTTTTTCCGTTCTGGCAAGACTGCTGGCTCCAAAACGTTCCCCTTAAGACTGCGGCCCAGTTCGCGCGCCCTTAAATCCGGCTTGATCCGCTTCTTTTTTTCATCCGGAACAATGTTTTCCTCTCACAAATTTCTCTAGAATTCCTCCAAACCATCCAAATTCCTCCACAACCATACCAGCCGAACACCCCCTGCTTATGATGAATGGTAAGGGACAATGAGCGTGTGGTAGCTGAATTTTGGGTTGAGTTCAGGAGGTCTCTCTCAGTAAGAGAGTTTTGAGAGATGGAAGGAGCTACAGGGAGATCGAGCTCTACAACATTTATTTGGAGATTGATACTCCTGATATTATTGTCCTCTGGGGTTTAGAGAAAAAAGGGTCATTTATCGTTCTTTTATGTACCTTGTGCCCTCTGGAGCGTTCTAGGCCACCAGCCTTTCTATACATAAAACTCTTTCTTTTCTTAATTGACAAACATAGCTCCTGTCTAGATTTTTTTTAAAAAAAAGGGGTCATTTGTCTACTAAGTCCCTTCCCGTTCGGCTTATCTTAAATCTGACTTGTTCGGGGGTTTTTTCAACCAAAACAGTGTTTTTCTCTCACAACATTTCAGCCAGAGCAGTGTTTTTCAGTCAATTTCAGCCAAGATTCAGCAAGCCGAACGGGTTTTCAACAAATGGTGGGATGACCAGTAGAGTGGTTGGGTTCATGTGGAAATGTAAAATCTCTTTAAAGATCAAATTCTTCCTTTCACAGGTTTTTAATAAATAAGCTGCAAGTTTCTCAAAGCCTTATTAAGAGGGGTTGGAAGGGGAGTGAGAAATGTTGTCTGTGCGGCAAATTAGAATCTGTGGACCATATGTTCCTTAGATGCTTAGTAGCTAGGATGATTTGGGGGATTTTGATGGAAGTCTTTAACGGGAAGTTCTGTCCAACTTCTCTCAAGCATTTCTCTGAGACCTGGTCGCAGGGCAAGGGTCCCTTATGTTGGAATAATGAGGCTTGGCCTATGGTTAGTCTAGCAATTAGTCAAAGAAATTTCAAAGGCCCACAATAAGTGCTAAGTGGGAGTGAAATTAGCACTACATGGTACACTCACTGAGAAGATGAGAAGAAGAGTTGGGGACCGGATCATTCCACGATCGGCTGGGACTGGTGCATTCCACGATCGTCCGAGGCTCCTATAAAAAGCTAAGCAGCGCCCCTTCTCCCGACCACCAGAAGCCAGCACTTCATCCTTCTAATTGTCTGCTGTATTCTTGCTCCTGTGCTGCTCTCTGCGTTTTCCAGCCTGAGCCCCTTGCGTGCACGAGGGGCTCAGAGGGGCTTAGGTGAGCAGGCCTCCGAATCTCCGTCCGCTAGCGCACTTGCACAGGTAGGCGGGCGATCAAGTTTTTGGGGAGCGCATTCGCGTGACTACTCTTGGTCCACTCCGACAGCTGCGTTCTTCTCGAGCGTCCATTCTTCCTCGATTGTCCGCTCCGGCAGCTGCTTTCTTCCTCGAGCGAACTAATTTTGTTGCAAGTATGTCACCTTGGTGACTTGTTGTAATACGAGGGTAAGGGCTCGCATTTCACTTAAAAAAGGCAAAAGTTAAAGCACGATCATAATAAGATTGACCGCTTGAGAAAATGCTTAGACATCATAAGATGGGTGGAAAATACTTACAAAGAGATAAAACCTACGAAAAGGATAGTCCTTTTGGCACACAGCGGAATGTGAGTTCTTTGATGTATATATAATGCAAATATAATTATGGGATAAATGGTTCTATACTATAGCATCGAAAGACTGCAAGACTCGGAAAATGCCATCAAAAAACTCCGTTAGGTGATGTACCATAAAAAACCGTGAACGTTAACCGGAAATAGCATCCCGTCATGTTGCCCTCCAACACCGTGAACACCTCGATCCGTCCAGGCCCACAAGCCAGTGAGACGTACGCCTTCTTCTCCGTGAATCCATCCCACGCCCATGGTTTCTCATCTACGCTTCACTACCAGCTCGTTCGTCATCCTTCCGCGCCTAATGAATCCGACTCCGCCGCTGGCTAGCCCCACATCATCCTCCTCTAGCGCCGCCGCCCTCCTTTTCCACTTCCTCCAATACGTGGCTTGGGCGGCCACAGTAGTGTGCTCACGTGCCCCGACGTCAGACAGGGCGGCGGTGCTGTGTGCCATGGCATGCAGGGCCGTGTCGTCAAAATTCGAGGCATTGTTCCAAATTCTAAAAGAGACCTTACTGATCTTAAAAAATAAAATGATATATGCATATATAGCAATGCGATAAATAAAAAATCATACCTATTTATTTTGTGATTGCATAATTTTATTTGAACACGATATCATTCTCTTAGTGTTCTTTAAATTATTTAACATAATTGAAATAAAAAGACTTGTTTTCGCTTGTTGAGTAGTAATTTGTGATCCTCGCAAAAAAAAAGAGTAGTAATTTGTGTTTTTTTATCGGATGTGAGTGTATGCACCATCGACCGTTTTGCGCAATACAACAGTTTTGCATCTACTTATAGTAACGAGTAATTATTCATTAACATAAAGAAATATTTGTATCGATAAATATAAGATAATTAGTCAATTAGATAATTACCTTCCACGAGTTCAGGTCTTTAGGAATCAGGAATTTACCCCTTGTGACCTACACCTGGGCGCTGGCCTCCAGACCTCCATCCGGCTTGCAACTTGCTTGATCACGGAGATGGAGAGACAGTGAAGCCAGGATGGGAGAGCCGGGGAGACAGATTGCTGTAGATGGATGCCATGCGCCGGCTTGCTTGATCATGAAGACGGGAGACACGGGGGAAGTCAGGATGGGACTACGGGAGAGCTAGGAAGACAGATCGACGTAGATTGATTCAGGTAGCGCGATATAGGAAGAGACGCAACATCAGGAGTAATCTGAAAGTCAGCATGGTTTAATGCGCCATAATTTTTAGGGCCTCTTAGAATTTGGGGCCCTGTACAAACGCACGGCTTGTGCACGCCCGCCGGCCCTGATGGCATGCAGCATGGCTGGAGGCTCAGGTGGCTTGGATACCCCATCGTCGCCCTGCTCCTGCAGCTGACGACGACCACTGCCACCTTCTTCACCATCAGCCTTGTCCTGCAGCTGATCCTTGAGCCCCTCCTTGTACGTCTCCATGAAACTCCTCATCACGTTGGAGCAGTGGCGGAACCATAATTTTTGAATAAGGGAGACCGGACAATACGATGATACCTCGTAAACATGCTAAATCTCTATATCTAAAAAGACACTAAAGTTATCATCTACCCGGTGATACCAAATCTCGATCCTGCTCATGTATCCGTATCTGATACGAACTATCCTTTACTCAGAGCTCACGCATCCGCATCTTATCCGTTTTCAAGACGAAGACTGGATCTTCGTGTCCACGTCTAATATGAAGTCCTCGAAAGTAATACCTCTACGTTCGAGTAATCAGACCAAAAAATTATGGTCCCAGTGCAACACGGGTATATATCTAGTATGTACAAAAAATGTATGTCTTAATAGTTTTTCAATGTTTTACACATATATTTAGTACTCATAATGAAAAAGCACAATATTTATCATCAAAATAGAGTGAAATAATAATTTTTTTAGCTATGCAATTGAATTTTCTATAGGTATTTTTTTTAAATCACTGTGCTTGGGGGGCCACGCCCCTGCTGGTCCCCCTGGTTCCGCCAGTGCGCGTTGGTGTACGTGGCCGAGTCATGTAAATCCGCCTCAGTGCGGGCTTCAGCGTCTCTATGCCGCCACGGCGAGGTCCTCCAGCATGCTGGGCTCACTATTTGACCTCTCCTTCTTGTCACTGCCAGAGCCAGGGCTGCCATTGGACAAGTGCTCATCCTCGTCCTCAGCCTCCGTTTTGTAGTCGTAGGGCCTGAGGTTAGGGCCGATGTTCCACACCCATGACACGCCATACAGCCAGGTGGCCTCTTTGAGGATGCACCAGCCGGGTGGCCTGAGGTCAGCGGTGATGACTTTAAAGCAAGCTCAAAAGTCGATTGTTGGACTGCCCTTATAAGAAGGTTTTAAATCTCCGGCTATAGCTACGACAATAGCTCGCTATAGCTATTTGAGGTAGATCAAGCTATTTGTGTATATGTACAACTTAGCTGCTATAGCCCGTTATAGCTCTATTTATAGCTCCAATATTAGCTGGTTTAGAGGTCACCCGATAAATGTCTTAGCCAGATATTTAAAACACTGCTTATAAGCCATAGACGACAAGGTATGGCAGTGTGGAAAAAACGGCGAGCGGCGAAGTGACAAGCGACTGCTGCATGCGTCTGGGCGAGCTGTGTCTCGAAAGTTGTAACTGCAAAGCGCATAGGAGACGAAGAGATGCAAAATTTGCATGTTGTTAATGCAGTCACGCGCGAGGAGTAACATGCAGCAGAGTTAGTTTCGTCTAATTTGGTCTCGTTAGTC